TTTACAGTCCCCATATTCTTTAAAGGTTACTCTTAAATCCATATTGGAAATCAGTGAAATACAAATAAATTAGCTATAGCCATATAAGGTACATTTCAAAGCTTAGAGGGGTATCGAATGGTTATTATGTTTTCGGGTAGGTTTAGGAAAAAGGCTGTTCTATCTGAAAAAAAAAAATAATCAAAGTGAAATTGATAGAATTTAATCACAGATTTAAATTAGCAATAATTATGGTATCCCTTCTGTTCCCTGAAACACACTCGAAAGATTTCAAAAATTGAAGCGTTCTAGCTTCTATCTTTTTTTCCACACACGTATATGAATATAAAGTGCATAATCATAAAAAAAATATATGTAATCCATGACCAATAAAGTATGTTCCCAACACGTTAGATGTTCAAGTAACCCTCACATTACGTACCACGCTAGCCCCTTCTGTCCTGTTAAGAGTAAACGTAGGCTGTCCGGAACAGACTTTTTGATCAACCCGGCTGTCTCATCTTATATACACCTCAGGTCAAGGGACGGAAGGAAACAATGTAAATAAAATTGGAAGTCATTCTAATATCGCTGCAAAGAAACGGAGGGATAATTTTATTTTGATAACATCAAAGACGAGGTTAACATCATATATTCCTCTCTTTAGTGTGCCAATCTGGGTATTTTGGAAGCAGATGTGAATTTCCATGCAGGTATCCAAGCTACGGCATTGAATGTCAATTAAAATGTGAATGTGGTGGATCTGAAAATTGTGATCACGTTAAAGGATGAGTGGGTAAAACATGATTTGTAAACATCACATATAGCACACTATTCACCTATGATTAAACCAGCACTTTGCAAAGAAAGTACGGGTATACAAATGCTTTCATTTCCGTCGGTTTGCTTCACTTCTTCTTTTTGAAATTCCTCTTACAACTTTAACAGAAACCAATTCCTCTTTAGAAGTTTGGCAGGCTGCGCCCTGTAGATGTTCAATCAGATTTCATAGTGTTTATTTTTTTATCCTTGGAGCCAATGGGAGTTGAAAAATTATTCTACAAAAATATGGTTCTCAAATCTCTTTTTATCTTTTACGCTGTAGCCAATTGAGCTACTGAGCAAAAATAATCTTTAATCTGAAGATCTTTCTGTTATAACAGCAAGTTTTAGAAATGTGAATGAAAGATTTTGAAAAAAAGGTATTTAGAAAGAGTAATAAGCTCAATTACAAGTATTTTAAATACGAATTTTTATCACATTACAATACATGTAAATTACTTAAAATTATAATTTATCATATTGATTGAATTAAAATTCTTTTTTGAATTCCTTATTCCTGTACATTTGATATAATCATGTTTGCTTCAGAGCAGTTTATATAAATTAGAATAATGCAGGTCCTATGAAGAATATGCACGGTAAATTATATTTTATTTAGACAATATCATCCATCGAATTCAAAAGGATTGATTTCAATTTTCCTGTATAATTTTGAAATTTGTATTCTCAGCAAACGTTTGGAAATTCATGAAAAGGCATAGTATAGTATTTGGAAGTCTTTCAAACTTTTATTCTAAAATCAGAAAATTTTTCTCGTAATATGTGCCATTTATTATACAATATATTATCTTTTTTGCAGACTCACTTGGGATTTGTAGTACTACAAAACATTCAGAAATCACAGACGTAATGTTGTACAGCACCGTTGTCCTAAGCATTATAGCAGTCTTGCAGTTTATAGATTACATTTATCTTTCTTTTTGCTACCAAAGCTAATCGATTTTTGTAGATTGCAATCTTAATTAAAAAAAAAAAAAAAAAAAAAAAAAAAAAAAAAAAAAAAACTATTGTTGTTTACAGTAACCATGGATTATTAGAAAACAAACAATTTTTATTTATAGATTGATTTATCTGAAATTTTGTTTTATTATTTACATGTATTTTACCGACCCATTTAATTCCATTCAGAGTATGTTAAAGTGGAGTACTTGCTTAAAAAAAGTTTTTTTTTAATTGTCAGCCTTTCATCCATTTTTAGGTAAATAAAATGCTTAAAATTGAGTTTGAAGTCATTCTTTACAAACAAAATGAATTTTCTTGCCTTGATTTTTAAAGAAGGCAAAACAGTCTGAAAACAAATATTAATCAGAGCCTGGTTGTGCTGACGTTTTTGTTCGAAGAAACCAAGTTGTCTTCAGAAAAAACAAAAAAAACAAAATTAAATATTAAAAAAAGCTTTCCTACTGAAAAAAGTCAGTTAAGGTACATTATACGAAGTACGTTCCCGATCCCTGGCGTTTTAATTTAATTAATAATAAGTTCAATAATTTAAACATGCTTGCTCAAAATGCCACCGAATGAAAAATTGCATGTACGAAAAAGAAGGTATTTATATCGGTAAATTTAGCATTTTTTTTATTCTCAAACAAAAAACGTCACCTGTTACAATACGAAGTAATGAAAAATAGTGGTACATGCATATACACAGAAAAATCATCCGTGACGTGAACTAATTGATCTGGTTTGTATCCTATTAAAAAATACTCTTGCATTTATATATAGAATAAGATATAGAAAACATTTAATAGATAAGAATTTGCCCTGCGTACGATTAATTTCTAAACCGAGAAAGACTACTGGTTAATAAAGTGATATTACAAGAGTACGAACTATCAATATTTCGCGATTCTCATTGTCAATTAAATGAACAAGTTTGCAATAAACCATATGAATAATACACGCCAACTGACCTTTTATTAGATATTGTTATAATGCTCTCTTATAGTAATCTATAATTTTACTGTAATTAACTATAGCATCAAAAGTTTTCACTTTGTAAATATTTTTTTTTTATTATAGTAAGTCAACGTATTTTTACTATAAATTTCTGCTTTTATATTTCATTTGTTTGAATTTCTATTAGCAATTTTCTAGTATAAAGAATAAAGCTTGTATATTTACATATCAGTTATAAAATAAATCATTTGTATGTAATTTCAGAAGTATTAAAGGTCAAACTATTCAAGCTCATAATCTTAATTTTGTATATTCAGAATACTTTCACATATTAATCTATTTTAAGGTTATATTTATAAAATACCCTTTTGGGCAAGTATATGAATGTTCTCTGAAACTGCAATTCTTCTGTAAATAGAATTATTATTTCAAATATATTAAGTATCAGAAGTTACATGAACAAAATATTTTTTATTTATTATTGACGAAGAAAACAGTTTTTGTTCACTTCTATCATGATATAAAACCCCTGTTTATACAATCCCTGTATTTTTTGTTTTAATACATTTCTTTTGACAGAGAAAAAAAGAAATCTATATCTCCATTATAGAAAGTACTTAAACAAGGATCCCATTGTCACTAGAAAAAAAACCTTCCTAGAGATTAGATCAGAACAATATTGCAAATTTCTGGAGCCCAAAGCCTTCGACTTATATTTATAAATAAACTGGTTCTTTGGGAGCCGATTACAATCTGAATGAAATGTATCAGCCTCGAATGGACTTTAATGGTAATATGAAAAAGTTTTATTGACATAGAGACAAAAAATAAAAAGGAAAGAAAATCAGTTTGATGTGAAAAATTTGATTCCAAATATTATTTTCGTTATCGTACACAGCAAAAGACACTTGGTTTGTTTTCTTTAATAATATTACCTAACAGCAAATTCACTGCAAGAAGATACAAATTTAAGGATGTTTAGAAGGAACTTTAAACAAAGCCTTGTCTCTGTTGATATGACTTTCAAGTCTAAATTTAAGGAAGTATAAAGAAGATTCGAAAGTTCTCTCTCTCTCTCTCTCTTATATCCAGAAAATAAAGTTTTATTGTGGGTTTATTGAACATCATATTCTTCTCAAAGGCATTCTAGGTTTTGTAGACGAATGAAAGGTAAATATAAACTGTATACTGGATGACAGCCCACACACCGAGCACAGTGATACTGTAGATCAAAGCTTTTCTTCTCTGTGGAGAATAGTTTCTTTCGCAATGATTATATGGCACTGAAAAAGGAAAATTATTGAAGTTTACGTAGATCAAGATAAACAGAAAGTTTTTTGTTCTTGTTTTACAGTTCATAGCATGGAATGGCTTGATCTACCGACGCCGAAGCTTTATACCCATCAATATATACATCTTCAGTTAGTCCTTTCTTTAAAATTGTCTATGCTGACAAACTAAAGATGGCAGATTAGGAAGGGAAATTTTGTAAAGTACTTTAAGCGACAACTAAAGTTATCCTATATAATTCTACAATCATTCCGATTGAGTTATAGTATTTCACGTGCGCGGAGATGATTTGTGATGTCTTCCTCACCCACCGGTTGACAGGGTGCACTGTGTTATCTTACATTAGATGAAAATAAATTGTTTTTAGCATGATAACTACCGGTAATATTTTTAACTATGTACCTGATATGCTGGATCAGAAAACAATAAATTACAAGGGTGACGTAAATTTTAACGGTGACGTCAAACTTGTTTGTTGACATATTTTGAAAGTAAGGAATCAGAGCAGTGTAAGGAGAAGATTAGAGGTTTAATGGGTATTTGCTACTCAATCTTGTCAATAAATTTTATTCTTCAACATCTGTTTACGGCGAGACAGTAACGAAGAGGCGCAGATATGATATACTGGATATGTATTCAGTTTTAACGTTAACCTGCAAACTCCACTAAGTCAAGGTGAGTTTATTATTTTGGTGAACTTTTGTAGTTACTGCGAAAACGTAGTTAGCAGCAAGATGCATTCGCGTTGTATTGTGGGTCTAGAGGTAACTGCGGGAAAGAAACAACATTCGCATCAATGGACAAATCAGAATTTTCTATTCCTCTAAGAGTTTATTCCTATTATAAACTGCTAGAAAGGAAGCCATCACTAATTATCAGGTCTGAGTAGGGGGGTTGTCACACTCGGGCAAAAGCGCCCACGGGACAACCCAACTTAGACCTGATGTCCCCCTTCCGAACAGTCCATAATTATGCAATATGTATAAACTTACCTTTACATCCTGTGTCATGATAACAGTGTTCTTTCTCGCACAAACATATTGATTGACAACCATCACCGTAATTAGGATATCGACACTTTATATCACAATTATCTCCTTGATATCCAGTAAGACAAACATTTGCTAACGGAAAATAAAACGAATGAACTTGCAATTTCTTGCCATCGATTAAAAAAAAAAGATGACTATGGTTTTTAAGTTATTAAAGATAGAACTGAAGTCATGTTAAGATTTTTCATGTAATTAATCTCGCTTTTCAGTGTAACTCACCTGCAGAATTTGGTGCTCTTGATATTTTAGGTATAAATCCGTTTGAAGAGTCCTGTGTCTTTGTTGAAAGCGTTGGAGATCCAACTGGTAAATTCAAACGCATCATGAAACACAGCAGTGCATTTAAACGCAACATGAAACACAGCATATCAGTTTTTTATTTTAAATCTAAATAACAGATTTACAATATTATAAATAAGGATGTTAAGAAATATTAGAGAACTTATACTTTCTTAAATACGATGGACGTACGACCTATTTCATTTCATACGAGTAATCGATATAAAGTTGCGCACGTTGCTATTTTACTGAATAAGAATTATCTTATTTTCAGACTAGCGTTCAATTAATTCAGCTGAGGAACATGATACGATTATCAGTTTCTGTTCCCTAACGTCATAAAAAATTGTCATGCAAAAAATGCGGCCAATTAAAAATAAAAGTGCTTGAACAAAAAAAAGTACACTGTATTCATATTAATTTGGCAAATTTAATATTTTATTCTTCTTAAACAAACACGCCACCTGTCAAAAGTTATGATTGCATCAAATGGTAATTGTGCCATTAATATGCAATCAATTTCATATGAATACATATATACTGATATGCATGCTGTTTTGTCATATGAATCTTTTGAATAGGGGTCTACCTAACAGGACCTCTAAGGTTTTAGACATCCTTGCAAAATAGCATGTATATGCACACCTGGGTAATTACTGCATCCACTTTCAATTCATTTTACATGTATTTTAAAAATATTTATGACAAGTGAATTCCTCTTCATTGTGCGTTGCAATAGTTTTTATTTCATGTATTTGAATCTCTAAATCTACACTATGAATTATTTACAATCTTCAAAATACATAGGAAATTTACACCGAATATAATGTCATTGTTAAAAAAAGTTAGAAAAAGTGAATATTCTTCAATCAAAGATTTTTCATTTGATAAGAATTTTCTCTTTTTGCATCGCTAGGTCGATAAACGTTTTGTTTGTTTGATTTTTTTAATTATTTATTTTATTTAGATAAGTGCTTATATAGAATATGTACCTTCACATCCAGATATGAAACTACAGTTAGACGGTGGACAGTAACATTCTAGTTGACAATTTTTTCCATAGCTTGGATAGCGGCATTCCATCTTGCAATATAATCCAAAATATCCCTCCTCACACTCTGTAAGAATAATTATCTAGTAAATCTTTCAGTAAGGATTAGTCTATTTTACCTTTTTGTTGGAAAACTAATTTCATGACTATATTCAAATGAGAATAACCAAAAATTTCATAGGAATAACTTTGTATTGGAAATATCACCTTTTCTAGATTCCTCCTAGTTCCTTTTTGAATACTTAAAACTGATATATACATGTAATTTTAATGAAAAATACACACCTTTTTTCATATTAAACACCGTATCATTCTGAGACACCAATATCAGCCAGAAATCCCGAGGGCTAATACAAAATGTAGTGTGGAAAAGGGTATGTTTCTTATATATATTAAACACCTTTTAATTAAATTAAGCGCATTTGCTTTAGCAAGTAGAAATAAATATTCATGGACTATCGTATTATATCACAGATACGTTGATGACAGGGAATTCTACAACTTCGTTTAAAGTTAGGATTTTGATAAATTTTATGGTCTTTATATTGACCTTTTTTTAAGGAAATATAACCTTCCATTTTGGCCTTTTTTGGCTGACTAAGTAAAAAAAAAATGACTAGCCAACAGAAAGTTCATGAGTGGCTACATAAAATTAAAAGCACTTGAGGTACGTCAATATTTTTTTTTATAATGAAGGCCAGAGGCAGTTAAAAATAACCACAGTAGAATACGGACACAATTCACATGATTATTGGTATATTTTCTATATTTAAAAAAGCTAATTGGCTAAAAATGACAGTCTTATAAATGAAGATGTAATTAATATGTCTATCCAACTGGTATTAATGTACACCAAGTATAACAATTATAAATCTCCCTTAAATTGACAACAAATACAATTTATATTGGTATTGCCCAGTAGCAAGAAAACCTTTCTACACTTCAGAGAGAAGAGAATTTATTGTATTTATTCACATGATTATTTGAATCTATACCCTGATGTGTTAAATATATATGCTCAATTATCATTTTGTGCTGAGACATGATTATTTTGTTTGTCAAAACAAAAATGTTCAAATAATAACTCAATGAAGAATAATAGTCAACATACCTTCACATTTGTTCAACTGTACATCCCACTCTAAACAGTGCTCTGATGTAATATTGTCTTGAGGGCTGTAAAGATGCAATGCTTACAAGTGCTATTGAGAGAGAGAGAGAGAGAGAGAGAGAGAGAGAGTAGAAAGTCAGAGAATATATTTAATATGAAAAAATCTTTAAATAAAAAAACATTACCTTGTAGATAGTTGTGCAGTTGTGCCCAATGACAATACAAAAATGACAACATCTATAATAAAGACGCACATTTTGCACAATCAGTCACTGATACCAGAGGAATAATATTTGAAGGAATAAACATATATTTTTAACACGAGTGTACTTCCTTTTTAGAGATTTCACGTGGTTCAAATCTAAGCATTATTAATTGGATATACATATATTTTCTTCCTTTCTGGATTTCATTCCTGGAGATATCTTATTTTGTCTGCGTATACAAATTGAATAATATTTACATTTTTTAAACTTCTAGGAATCTTTATGTGGAATGAGGCACAAAGGAAAAGGAGTAAATAATCCAACACGATTATTGATTTGTAGATTTTTAGATGAATACAACACAACAGAAAAAATAAAACAGGTAGATTATACTAATCCAATGAAAGGATCATGTAGATCTTACAATTTCATGTACAGGGGTAATGAAACCACTGTATTTTTTTTTTCTCCGATGTTAACTACATATAAATAACTAGGCTATATAACAACATTTCAACGGAGTTTTGTTACGTTCTGTGAAAATTATGTTTTCCTTTCAATTAATGAATGCCAAAAACAAAATCTTGATGATTTCATAAAATGGAAAAATATTATGTACTTTATATGTCATGCACATTAAGCTACTTCAGAGACACATCACTGCTAACTTTTCTCTTTTTTGTGATTGAAAGGCTACTCATAAATACAATGTCATGCAAACGTCACAGATAAACATACTTGGGGATTTAACCTTCAAAAATCTACAAATCAATAACATAATTTATCCCTTTACATTTTACAGAAATAGATGTCAATTTTTTTCTTGTTAAGCCTCTCAAAGATAAGTTATTAATGATTTTTAGTATATGTAAAACAATCTAATAATTCACATGCTCAGTTATTTTTTCTAGTATAAATGAATGTGCGATAAATGTGGACTGTGAACTTGAGGACTGTTAACAATGAAGTGATAACTATGATGTACATGAACGCTTTTCCATAAATTCTTTGTCCGGCATAATTTGTATTGCGTCAGGAAAAAAAATATTTTTCAAGAAGCAAGAAGTTTAATTCCACACTGCAGTCTTTTCTCTTCAGTAAATTGATTAACTTTTAACTTGGAATGTGGAACCTAGTGAAAGCAGATATACGGAGTGCTAGTAATATAAATTGTGTTTGCAAATAAATATGAATAGAAAATAAAATTTTGCAACATTTGTTTTATACGGAAGCCCGTTGAGGCCAGTTCAGAGAAAGAAATATTTTTTATTGCGTTTAAACACAATAATTATCGCGTTTAAACGCAAAGGATTGCGTTTAATCGCAATAATCATTCCGTTTAAAGGCAATACTTTTTCGTTTAATCGCTAAAGATTGCGATTAAACGCTATCTTTTGCGTTTAAACGCAATCATTTTGCAATTAAACGCAATTCTTTTTGCGTTTAAACGAAATAATATTTTTAAGTTTAAACGCAATAGTTTTTGCGTTTAAACGCAATAATATAGCGACTTAACGCAAGATTTTTGCGATTAAACTCAATCATTTTTTGCGTTTAAACGGAATAATTTTGCGATTAAACGCAATAATCTTTGCGTTTAAGCGCAATAATCTTTGCATTTAGCGCAATAATCTTTGCGTTTAAACGCAATAATCTTTGTGATTAAACGCAATCATTTGTATCAAATCATACAGAATACAACGGACCCACGTAAACTGATATATTATATTTCTTTCCCTTTTTGACTTATAAGGAAATTGTGTAATGTCTAGCTTTATAGAATCAGATTCCACAGAGCAAACGCTCTCTGAAAGGATAAATCACTGATGTGAATTAATAGAGGAGAAAAAAAAAATTGTCGGGTTGTAAAAACAAAGACAACCTAAGAACGAAACATGTCTTTTTAAACATGTGCTATATTCTTAATGAAGATTTGGTCAGTTGCTAACAATCACAAATCACTTTTCCATTCTGTTATTTTTTCTACTTTGAAACAATTTCTGCAAACAATTAGAATGGATCTTCTAAATAAAAGACTAAAGAAGGAAAAATGATTAAAAAACTATTCCCCACGTTGCGGTCACAAAGTATAACTCATGTATAAATGGATTAAGGAAAGGACTAATGAAATGTTGGAATTGCGTACAACATGATGAAGTATTTAGACTTAAATGTATATTCACAACCTTTCCTACGGTTGCATACAGCAAACACAAGAACATAGATGATGGAATCATTTGAGATTAAAATCAAATGAAAACAGATTGACCGATATGTACTACGAAATTGACAAGTTTTTATTAATACAACTGAAATGTTATTAATTAATTGTGATACGTAAGCAATTGATCAAAGGCTTCATTAAGAGTGTTGGGTTCTTATACTTTTAAGACATTTTTGTTGTTTGTATGCCATTGTTTTACTACAATTTTCACAAACTGGAAAATTTTGCAAAAAGACACAGAACCAAACGGTTCTTTGAAGTGTCGGATCCCAGTAATCATAAGCATTGGCTTATTCATGTCTAATTTTGAAACTACAGTATCATTATGTTTAAATGCAAAACCAATCCTTAAAAGGAAGAATTATTGCATTTAAACGCAAAATTATTGCGCTTAAACGCAAAAATTATTGCGTTTAATCGCAAAAGTATTGCTTGTAATCGCAATGTTATT